AAAACTGGCGCCCTTTGATGTTTTATTGATATATATATATATATATATATATATATATATATATATATATATATATATATATATATATATATATATATATATATATATGGCAGGCTAGTGGTTCAGCGTATCCCACAGACTGCCACTCTGGGTCCCTGAGCAAGACCCTTAACCCCCCACTGCTTCCCAAGGGCGTGGGTTAAATGCAGAGAGTTAATTTTGCTGCTCTGTACTTGTGACAATGTAATGACAATAAAAATGCTGGAATTTGTCCCGGGCCAGGTAGTATTGTCCTAACCTTGCCAGATTAGGACAATGCTAGAATTAGAAAAAGCATTGCATTAGTTGGAGGAATCTGTAGACAAGAACATTTTTCATCAGAAACATGCCACAAAAACACTGATAATGAAAGAAGGGGAATACCAAAACCATTATTGGTAGTTCAAATTTTCAGCCACATGCAAAATGGTGTGAGGCAGAAAGCGAATACTGCACATCATCTCAAAACAAAGTATTTTTACAGTAAAATGTTATATTAGTAAATTAGTCTATAAACGGGATTTGGGAAGCTGTTCCCCATTAATCATGAACTAAATAAAAAGCAATCTCAGAATAAAACAGTATAATCAGAAAGCATATTGCCAGAGCTACATTGGAATGGTGTAGAATGCTCCTGTCAAAGCCGAGATGTAAATTCAATAAAGAATTTAAAGTAAGCTTTAAATATTGATGTTCACTGAGGCTTCCTTTTACCTCTTACTGCTATCATTTTGCAAAGAAGAATAGGAAAAAAATGTCCTGGGCTGGTAAAGACGATGCCCAAAAGGCATTAACTCAGGCAGACTGAATACTAATGCCACACATAATTTTAGAGGATTTTCCTTATGAAAAATATTAGAAAACATTTATCCATCTACATGATCTTCAGAGTAATATGTAAAATTTTGCATATAGAATAAAAATAGAATTGTTTTATTTTTGAAAAAAGTTTTTTTTGTGTGTGTGTTATTTTCAATCAAGCATTATCTTTTAACATGTTTAACAAAACTCTTGAAAACCACCTATATGGTAACTGCTAAAATATTTTCTTTAGCTTTGCATTCTAACCCTGACAAGAAATTTAAAAAAAATCCATACTTTTTTGCCGAGCCTCTGCAAGATTTTATATAAATAGTTTTTTCTGATGAACAGAGGCACCATGCTTGACAGTTTATTATAAATGCTGCTTCCTCGTTTGAGAGAAAAGAATATTAGAATTAAGACACTGCTTTGTCTTGTCATTTATAGTGCCTGTATTTCTAGAAGGATGTGTCTTTTTTATTAGGTTGACACAGTTTCTGGAGGTCGCACAACTCTATTTTTTGCAGCCAGCTCTAGTGAGCTACTCCAATCAGCCCTACTCCATTCTGCTGCAAAATGCCTCTTTTGATATTATTAGCACAGCTGTGCTGCATTGCGAATGGGAACTAGGACACAAATTAGACTGATTCACTTCTGAAAAATGTTATTATAATAAGAGTAGCAAACAATATGTCGCTTGAGAGCTCACACTTACATTAAAAACTGAGATTGTGTTGCAACATACCAAACTGATCCATAGAGATAATCCTGTTATCACACTTTCAGGATGAATGATTCATTGCATTGTTTGATAAACTAACTCACACCAGATAGCAATGCAGAAAATAGACTAGTCCAATTATGGCAATTCCTACTCGTTGGCCCCTTATTTTGTTCAAATAATAGATCTACAACTTCCCTAATGCTTGTGAAAAATATAACACATTGATTTATGTATGGTAATGTTAAATTGAACCTTTTCATCATTTTGGTTCCTATTTGGATACATAGACTTTGGTCAAACATCTCTCCAGAATAATATATTTGGTCTTAACAGAATAGCATTGTCAGAACAGCATGCTAGTATTAGCTGGTCAATTAGTTTGGCTATCTGCACCTGTAGCCAGCCTGCAGTTAGCTCCTGAATGCAGGCGTTGCTCCTAGTTAAATAACATTAAAAAAGTGTGTTACTTTAATAAGAATGATAGATGGACACTGGCCATTTAGTTTACATATCTTGTATATCTATTTGTTTCTATTATCAGAAATATTTTCAAACAACCAGATTAACTTTTCTGTTCAGCCACAAAAAAATTGTAGTGTCCTTCTTTCAGCAAGCTGATGGGAAGAAAAACATCTTTTACACGTTTTTCTTTCTTCTTTTTTTTTTTTTTGGTCTGGCATTAGTGGACCTTTTTTTTTTTAGACGTTATAGCCCCCTAAAGTTAAGCTGCTGTGAAGTTGTTTCCTATCAAATATGATACATCCCATGTACCTTGCATCAGTCAAAACCAGAAGGAATGAAACCGGTGCACTTGTGATGTCCTTCGCTTTTTGCAGTGTGGCTATTAAGAACAAGGTACAGAGTACTGCTGTGTTTGGAAAAAGTCTGTTTCTCTTGCTGTGACATCCTCTTCTATTTTCTTCTCTTTTCTTATTGTTCACTTGACCACCCTGGGCTGAAAGTTCAATGCTATATGGACTATAGATGATTTAGAGGCATGATTTGTAGTTGAATGAATCAGAAAATGTGGTGTCCTTGTTGTGGATATTGTCCTTGCTGTGGTGTCACTGTTCATATAATGTAAGTTAGTCTCCATCATTGCAGAATGATCATTTTTGTACAATAGCATGAGATTGAGTTCATTTATTAATATGGTTGCATGGCATTATGTAAATTTCCTTGCAGAGGAGCGTGTGTGGTGTTTATATGGCGTTTCTGTCTTTGTATGTGTCATACATGATTTTTATGTATTCATAGCAAAGTTGATGCTGTAGCTATTTACTTAAAACTGCATATTGTCATAGATTATCAATCGAAAGGCATTTATTTTTTATTAGAGTTAAAATGAGTTCCCCCTCAATCAAAACAAAGTGTTACACATGGTTTATGCCACTTTAAAAATACTAATATTGTAAAAAAGAAAAGGTTTCTCACATCATTTGAATAATAGTAGTGCACTTGTATTCCCCTTCCAATTTATTTACTTAGAGTTGCCAATAAAAACGTGACCTTTGGTGTCATTCAATTTACATGTAATTATTTGTTTCAAGGCAACATTTCCATCGCAACTCACAGCCCCCGACTGATCTTTGACTTTAGACATTAACATTGCTTAATTCCTGTGATCAACTGCTGTAATGTGCCTTCTGGCACAATATACTCTACATGCTCAATTGTTATTGGGATAACTGGAGCTGGAGCTTTTCTTGGAATATATTTAACGAGTGAAAAAGAAGAAAAGGTCTTTATACACACCTGACTAAACTGAAATATTTTTAACTTTTCTTTTTCTACAGTTACACTTCCCAACATATATTAAGAAATCCCAAAAGACAATCAACATTTCATATAAAAGATGTATGCTATAAGTTTATTTTTAATCACAAAATGGGAGAGTAAATTATTTTATTCTGTAAGTTTTGTGTATTTGTGTGTTGTGTATTGGTTTGTGTATTTAAATTTTAGCCTCGACATTGAAATTAAGAGAGCTACTATTCTATGACCTTTTGCTGTGGTTTCCCAGGGAGAAGAATTTCAGACCCAAACCACAGCTGGAGTATGTTAAATAAAAACAGATTTAGTTGGGCTCTGCTTGTCTATAGTACTCTTAATTCATTTCTACAGCTTTCAAATAAATTTAAATCACCAAAAAAGCAGATGCTAACCGCACTGAATGCATTCTGACACTTTTTTAATGTCAAAAAGGTTGAGGGATACCTCTGTAATAATTATTTAGCTATGAATACATGTGGTACTGCATACAAAGAACCTAACAGTTTAATGTACAGAAAGGGTACAAAGAGGAGTTATTCTGAATATATCAACTTACATTTGAAACCAAGAGTTTGAATGCCAAAATAAAAAACCTAAACCTTACAGATCTTGTAATGTAATGTAATGTAATGTAATGTAAATCTAATTTCTGCAGTGGTTGTGCCCACAAAATTGGCATTTATCTAATGACAGATAATAGGAAGTCAATGAAATTAAATTTGATTGACACACTGCAAAATGTGAAATAAAAGTAAGGAACATTTTCATAATAGGTGTATTTGAACTTGATTTGAGTCAGTAAATAAAGCAACCTGCTAGTAAGAGTTTTGCACTTTAAGAAACAGCATCTCCATTATCTTATTTAAAGTGCCTTGCTCTCTGCTTTGCCAATAGTTGGCAACAGTGTTGGATGAGAGTAAGTTTGGTAAACATGTGACCAAAATAAAAGTCTACATGTAACATCCAAAGGGGCTATATACTGGGATTAGGTACCCATTGCTATTTACATTAATGCAAAGCTGCAGCACAATAGCTTTAAACCAGCAACCCCAAACCTTTTTTGTTTATGCAACATGCACCGGTTTCATTCCAGACAATGTTTTCACGGACCGGTCTGTAGCTCTAGTACTGACTAATGATTATGGTAATGTTAAACATGCCTTCTCAATAAAAGACAATAACATGGATGAAAACAGCCTGCTAACTGCTCATAACAGCAGCAAATCATTGGGCATTGAGTTTTGCTGCAGCTAGATGGCAGGGGTTTAAAGTGGGAGGTATCACATGACCTTTGGTGTTGTGGTGACGTTTCTCAAGAGTGAGTCAAAGATGGATGTAATGGAGAGAATCCAGTCATTTTTCAAAAAAAAAATTATACTTAGAAAATAAATCTGCTGGAAATAATGGACTTTAACAACAGTATTCACTTTAGAGCAACCTTCATCTTGTGATTAATATTCATCTCTGCTTTTGACTTGTTTAATTAAAGCTCAATTTATATTGTTTTTTCTTGTTTCTGTTCAGCACCCAACTATGTTAAGCTTGAAAATAAAACAACTGCATCTGGATTCAGACACATAAACGCCCAGAATCCTTTCCACCCACAGTGAACATGAAAAGCTGACTGTTTCTTGAAGTGTGTCTGCTTCTGTTTCTCTTCCAGGACTGGCTGAGTAGGTTTGGATACCTCCCGCCCCCCGACCCAGTGACCGGCCAGCTGCAGACCAAAGAGGCGTTGACCAAGGCCATCAAAGCCATGCAGAAGTTTGGAGGGCTGAAGGAAACTGGTGTATTAGGTAGGGATTCATCTATTCTACTTTGAAACTGCAGATTATATAAAACAAAAGTAAGAGTGGAAGAGAATACAAGAGGTATAATATAATGGAGTCCCACAAACAAAAAGCATGCAGTGGCAGCTTTAGAAGGGACTGAATCAATGTCTCTCAGACATAACACTGAGAGGTAATATTTATTTGGGTTCTATTTACTGGGAAGTATTACATTGCACAGCTTTCTACCCACCACAGGACAGCTTGTAAACATAAATCACACTTGCCGTCACAGAGAGGGAGAGAAGAGAATGACAATACCTCCATGTGCCTACTGTATGTGATTGATGATGCCTGTACTTCTGAACCCGAACAGTATATTGATTAAGGTGCATACTCCTATTCTCTCCATGCTGTACACTCATAATTTCCTTCAGCTCACTTTGGCAGTCTTTCTCAGTTATAGGCATCACAAGCAGCATCATTTTTTATCTCCACCAGATATAGTAAAAGACGGTAGGTATAAGTAATTTTGAGCTGTAACAGTCTGCAGAGATCTTTAGAACTGTCATTAAACATGTAAGCAGGTATCTTACAAAGCTTGTGTAGTTTGTCGTGTTCAAAATGCTTTTTATGGATGCACATTTGGTATGATTGCATACGACGACCTAGATAACCATCATTACTGGTGCAGTCATTTGTAAAAGGATGCTGAGCCACTGTAGTAAATAGAATGCATCTGTCTTAACACTTAAAGGTATAGAGGAGTGTTTTCGCAAATTTTTGAAAAGACCAGGGAGAGAACGACTATTATGCACGTGTTAGAGCATGCAGGAGACCATTTCTCCTCGTGCACGCTCTGTTTAAAAGTTGCTGTTTGCATCGCTCATACAAGCTTACATTCCGAAACAAGATAAGCAGTTTTCCACTACGTATGTCAGATTCACAACAGAGCACGTAGGATGGCCTTATGTAAACACATAACCGGAATGATTGACAATTAAGAGGACCAATTTATTTAATGATCCACCCGGAAATAGAAGATCCTCCACTATGCCTTTAAGCATTACATCTTTTTCTGTGCCATTATAAAAGTATTCCTTTGGGATAAAGGTTGCTATTACATGTATTTTATTGGGATTTTTTTATTTAGATATTAAGGTTTATTTTTAAGTTTATTTAAAGCATACACGATTTTAGTGACAACTCTTGAGTTCACATATTAATACACATAAACTCTTTTCTTCTAATCAAAGGTGGTTACAGCAGCTTGATCACAGCATGTCGTTTAAGTTTTAACAATTTTCTCTCACCCTTTGCTGCCCTTCAGACCAAGCCACACTAGGTCTAATGAAAACACCCAGATGCTCTCTGCCAGATGTCTCCGATCCCAATGTGACGACAGGGCGCAGGAAACGAAGCTTGAACTCACAGAACAAATGGAATAAGAGACATCTGTCATGGAGGTAGGAACATTTTAAATCATACCTGCATATTTAGCTAATGCTAAGTTGTGTATCCAGTAATTCTTAGATGAAAACTGAAAGGTTGCAAAGCTTTCAAGCAGAGAAAACCTTTTTCTCACAAAAATAGAATTATCTTTGTGTAATTTTGAACTGATGGTGTTGCTGTTGTTTAGACATTTGCTGGAAATCTATTCACATATTTTCCCCCAACTTTCAGCAAGCACTCAAAAACATACACATTGCAAACTCTTATCAAAACAAAGCATGGCAGCTCGTTATGCCTTTTACAGTGGGCGTTTATTTACTTTACTCAGACAATGATAATTACTAAGGATCAAAAGATAATAGAGAAATTAAGAATTCCCTCACTCATTAATTTCTGAAGATAAAAGCTTAGCTTAATCAAAAATAGCTTAGCTTTCACTTTTCATTCTTTTTAAACAAGACTTTGACATGCAGAGACAGGTTTAAAATCTGATTTTATTCCTTTCTTTCTTTTCATTTTGTTTGCTTTATGGTTTTCCCCTATAAAGTACAATTTCCTCAAAAAGTCTAGTGGTGGTTTCCAAAAGTTTTATTTTACTGCTACCTTGGGGTGATGTCAGCAAAATTCTGTGTCAGTGGAAAAACACACATATAGAAACAGAGACTGATTAAGTGGATTAGAATTTGAATGCCTAAAGTTTATTCTCCACTCCTGCTTTCCTTTCCATATCTGTTAATTTTCTCGTCCCTGTACTTTGACTCATCCCAATAAACAAAGAGAGGTTTAAGGTCTTCATTAGATCAACATAATGTAATGTTTACACAGCAGATATATGTTAGGTCTTCTGTGGAAGCTCAAATGCAAACTTGTCAAACTTGTCTGTGTGTCCTCTGTCAGTAAACCTGAAGATGTTTTTGGTTCACTGGGTTTATTGTCATCCTGAGTGCTCGTTTGTGTAGTCCCTAAATAACACATGTACTAAATACCTGGAAAAAGACCATCAATATGGGTCGTCTCATCGGATTGCGTAAGTGTGAAGCAATGTAATGGAGACATAATCTTGATTAAAAATAGAAGTAGTGGCATAACTATAACAGCAAACCGCTCTACACACAACCTCTTCCATTGTAATGTTGAAGGCAGCCTCATCTGTAGAGACACTTTATTCAGCAGAGACTGTAGAGCTGATCATAGCTGATGGGACGATAGATGGAGCTAAATGCAGGGAAATCCTAGAAGAACATATGAGAAAGGCCAAGTTGAGAGGTTAATCTAACTGTTCTGCTGTCACAACACCCGTTTGACCAATAAGTGTGAGCTATTTTACAAAGAATTGGCAAAAATATCAGTGCAAGTGTGGTTATAGAGAAATATGGTTCTGTGAACATTATTTTAAGTTTTTATTCCTAACAAATTAAATACAATGACATTTCCTTTAATCTCCACTTTGCAGTCATGCTTGTCTATTTCACAATTTTTTTTAAATTTACAAAATAAACATGTGCTTCTTCCAGATTTGTGTGTGGTATTTCTCCTTTATAACTTCAGTGGGCTAATGTTTTCAGTAAACACAGTAATATGTGCCTAGACTTAAAACTTTTAGGGGAGAAAATAACCAAGTAATAAAAATAAAAATCATGTTTTTGAAAAGCAAGTGATTATTCTGGTCTTCCTCTGCTGGTGGTTGTGTAAATTCTTGGTAGTTTGTGGCAAATCCTATATTTGTGGAATCTGTGCAGACAGTACAGTGTTTTTCTTTTTTTCTTTTTTTTCTTTTTTTTTTTTTAAGTTAATTTACTTTTTTACACTGCTTATGGTTTTAACTGTGTTTGGTGATCGCAGAATGGTTTTATGGTTTAACTCAGCTTTAAGCAAGATTCTAATGTATCTTTGAATAGCAAAACTGTCCGTGTATATCCCAGGAAACTAACAAAAACCAAGTGAAAAACATTTAAATTTCTCCCTGGTACTGGGTTAATGCTTAACTTACCTGTGTCTGCTCAATTTTAATTGGCTAGTCTTCTTTAAGCTTGTCTTCACGAAAAGAAATGAAAAAGAATGCACAGCCTTCAGTGGTTTCCTCAAATTAAAAACTTTTAACCAAAGGTGAAGATATGCGTTCATGCAAACAAGAATGATGCAACTCAAGTTCATCATTTATGTATACGTGTTCTTGGGCAAAGCAATGTGAAGGACTTATTTTTAACAATGTGAATGGAGCGATTCGGGGCAAAGAGAAAAGAAAGCGAAATCTGTTGTTGATGATAACGAATCAGCCAATAAGCCTTTTTTTTTTTTTCAAACATTCTGTTATTCTCAGAAATCAAGCCAGCAGAAAATTTGACCCTTAACTTAAACAAAAGGAGACCTGTTAAAGAAGAGAATAGGTTTTAAAGCAATAAGACGTTTTCAGATATTGTTATTCACATATTAAATATATATAATTGACAGGCCCAACATTCTTTCTTAACCCTTCCCTTTATGTGCTCCAGAGCGGTGTTATATCTTAATGTGTGTGCGGTCTAGTGCATCACTACAAAAGTAGTCCAACTGCTCTTAAGTTTATTTTGTATTATGTAGTCTAAATCTTTTTAAGTGCAATATTGTAGAATTCCTCCTTGATGTAGTTCATACTTCTGTGGGATGTTTTTGAAAATCTGTCTGCCCAGCCTCTTGTTTTGATCCCCTGTTGTCCTCCTTTGTCCTCATGTCACCGATCAGAAACCAGAAAACGTGGTTTCTAATCATCATCAGAGTGAGCAGATACAGCACTCAGATTAGAGTAAGACTGTTAGCCTGGTCGAGAGCAGGAAAGTGCACAGAATAAATTACCACTGTAACAACGTGTTGCTGCTTTGGTGAAACCGAGCTGTGGCTTTATTTGGCACGAGAACAGAAAGTACCCACTTAATCCTTTATCCTGGTTTTATAAAATATGGCCCTAAACAGACAGAAGGTCCATGGGAAGTGACCGTGATCCAGCCGTAGCTCCCTTGACCCCCTGAACCTCAGAACGCCACCACCGTTGTTCAGCTTTCTATATTATTTACAGCATTGTGACTCGCTCCATATAACCCAGGTATATCATATTGAGTTGAACAGAAAACAGGCAAGTGGATAGAAGCTCCTTTCACTTGATGAAGCGATAGTGTTGTCATACTAATGGGCAAAATGTCAAGAAGGAGCAACAACATGCGAATGAGGTGAAAAGTTTGCTTTAACCGCTTTCATTCTCAACATTTTACAGTTGCATTGTATCCATATCCAGCTCTTGTACAATCCTGCTCCAAGTGAACCTTTCTATTGTACCAATTGTTATGACAACCTCTAGTCTTCCCCTAAGCCATAACAATGAGTTAGTTGTTAGGAAGAGCTGCTGTATTAGTTTAATGTCTATGAATGCTATGGTGAAAACGTCAGCAGGCTGCCCTGATTTTGTTCGAAAATAAATTGGATCGTTTGGGTTGGTCTATAATTTAAATGCCAACATATACACTGGTGACAAAATATGAAGCTGTTCAATTGCTTTGAATTCCTTGGCAAGGTAGTGTAAATATTTTGACACTTAGGTTCATGACCAACTTAAATGTTTATGTAAAACTGTAGCTGAACAGTCTGGCTGATTAACATGCACACTGTCAGGGGAGACTAAACCTAGATGGGTTGCTCTAAGTTTATCCATCTTCCAGGTTGTAGAAAATGTGTGCTCTTGTGGAACACAAATCAGTAAAGTGTATAGAAATACATTTGTGCACCAAAATCAAACATATAAGAAAAAAGGTTTTTAAACTCTATTGCATACATCTACACACACATATAGAAAGAAAGTGAAATACAAAGACATGTAGGTAACCGTCCAAGTGAGGATAGATTCTCTAGGTGACCAAAACTCTGATTCATTTAGTTAAATAAGCAGAAGACTGTTTAAGGATAGGGTGGAAATACAGTATAAAGAGTTTATCTTTTTGTGATACCCTGACTTTCCTGTCTTAAACAGGACCTCCTGTCTCCATCCTTATGGTGATCCAGGAGTTATAGGGGTGGCTGAGTCCTCAAATGAGATTTTTTTATGTCATGAACCGGGGAAGGTTTTTCTGCTGTCACTGTAGGGGAGAAATAACATAGCACAACTTTTTTTTTTTTTTTTTTTTTGACTCCACAAAGGTATTTATCTCAGCTTGGACCTCACTGATGACCTTTCACCTTTCGCTTGTGACATTTCCTCTTCTGGCTAGACAATTCAGAAATAAGATCGTCAAGTTTGGAAAAAATAGAAAACTGAGATAAAATGTTAACCTTGCATAAACCGGATTGATACTGTGCAGAATTTAAATTGAACTGCACACTATCAATCTTCCAAGACTCCTTTAGAAAGGGTTCCCTACACGGAGGGAAACTCAGTAGAATTCCTTGAGCTGATTGGGTACAGTAGTGGAGGTTTAAAAGCTCCCTTTTCAGTGATGGGACTCTGACTTGGAGGCTTTTATGCTTGGCTGATCTTGGCTGGTAACCAGCCGTCATTTGGCTGTCTTTTAGTTTGAAGGGGAACTTTTAAACCACTACTACTCTACCAGCCTCCCATGTCCCAGCTTTTAGCCAATCACAGCAGTGGTAGCAGCTTTGAAATGTCATATGCTTGATTTTTTTCACAGAGTTAACTGATAAATCAAGCTGTTTTCCAATCCATTTGGGAGAATTGTGCAAACATCTTACCATCCACAAAGGCAAAAATTGTTTTTTTTTTTTTTTTGCTTATTTTTCATAAAGAAAATAAAGAGTATTCCTGCTAAAAATGGAGCCGCCATGTTTGTTTTGCTTCAGTCTTCAGCTTCTGGTTGACGCTTTGATGTCATACACGTCATTGCATTTCACTGACACGAAACCTTTCCGTATTGATGATAATTTATCCGTTGGCTTCTGGCAAGATGTATTTTCGTGAGTTTGTGAATTTACACATCTCACGACAGTTCATCTTGCTTGCAAGGGAAACGAGGTTTGCCAAATTTGGAAACAT